CCCCACCCCCCAAACCCCTTTTTATCCCGAAAGAAAAATGGGCCCAACTAAGAAACCAATTATGTTTTCTAGTAGAATCTCTAAACAAGAAATACAGCTATTTCATTCCATGTTTCCTATTCCGTGAAATATACTTGGGAAGCAAGTGACAAGGCAGAAACCAAACGTATCAATGCTTTGTATTAACAACCCTCAAAAGTTGGGTTGTAGGTCAGACTTAATTATCAACCAAGTCCTATTCCTCAATAATTTTCCTTCAATCTCAATGGCACTAAGAAAACTTTACAAGGTGAGAGGCACTGCAGCCTCCATCTTCTCCCCATTCCTGAAGAAAACTCACTAAAAAGAAATATTATTGGCACTCCAACTGTCACTATTACCTGACAGATCAATAGATTCACAGAAAGCACTTCAACAAAACTATCACCAAGAATAGCATGGAATTCTAAACCAAAACCAAGTTACCCCACAAAAAAAGGGTCCCATTTTTCATCTTTTGACTCCAATTAAACATTTAGTCATTTGGAAAATAGAAGCACAACGCACTGCATAACTAGATATTTATTCGAAAGTAAAACCCTCTGAGAATTTCATTAAGCCTTAGCTTCTACCTCATTGTCTAACAGCGTATTGTTTGATTTGATTTATTTTATTTTAGAATGAAAAAATAATCAAAATAGAACTATACACTATAAGTCGATTTGATTAAAAGATTGATATTCTAACAATCAAGATCTCCATGAGAAACCATGTCGCACCACTGCATGGTTCAGTTTCCTAATGTGAGTCAAAGAGTAACCTAGTAAATCACACAGTCCAAACATAGTTTAAGGACATCTCTCTAGTGTTTCAGGCGTTAGATCATCTAATGCCAAGAAAGTTCAACTGATTTGGAACTAAGACTCTTGTATTGAATTTTTCAGTTGGATCAGCATTTGAGTACTATTTACTTCCCCTGAGTGATAAAAAGTGACCCTTTCAAACACAACTTATTAGTATTCACATTTTAAGCCAGTGGGTGTCTTGAAGTACCACAGCACTCACCAATCTTTACGAGCATAATCAGATATACATACATTTTAGAAGATCAACTGTAGATATAGCTCAAGCCAGTTGCCAAATGACTACATCCAATACTGTAAATCCTTTTTGTAATAGTAAGACAGCTACTTTACCTGCTTCAGAAGATGATTCACCATTCTGCAGCCTTGATGGTCCAGGTACACGTGGGCTTTGATCCCTCGAACGACCGCTCTCGGAGGACATACTATCTGAATTGCTCCGGTTATCTACATTTTCCGCGGAACCCACCACCAGTGACCTCTTCTCATCCTTCTTCCTCAAAACAGAACTCGACAGCCCTTCACCACCGCCCCGTCCGCCTGCTACATTCTTTGATAAATTGCTAGCACCTAATGAATTCACCTTATCTCTGCTGGCATACCCAAAAAAGCTCTCTTGTGGCAAGGGCCCAGATCGAGTCTTTATCTTATTTAACCCCAATGATGATGCTACTATCGGAGACACTGATACAGAGGTCGGCCTCAGTTCCGGTTCACGGGTTCTCACCGGATTCTTAGCCGAATTGGGACTCGGACTTTCTTTACCTTTATCATCTTTATTCTTATCTTTGAAAGTTGAAATTGAAGATGGAGTGATCGGAGAGTTGTCTTTGGAAGTAGAACCTGACTTTGCTTTCTTCTTGTCGGATCGGATCGGGGAATTGGACCCAATAGATCGTGGACTGTTGGAGGATCCATCTGGGCTTGATGGGTCGGATTTCTTCGATGAGAAAAATCTACCTTTGAATACCATCTTCGGAAACTTAGCTGATATTGATTCCTAGGGTTAAATTAAATGACTCTTAATTTCTTCTTCGAATTACAGCCCCTTCGGGCTGTGAGGTTTGACTAGAGCATTAATGGAGATTGACTGATTGCAGAGTTTGGTTTGGACTGAAGAAGACTCTGTAGTCCACTGTTGCTCTGTAGAATCGGAAATGGTGACGGTGACGGTGACTGCGTCGAGAGACAAAGAGAGAAAGTATTGGGGGCTAAAATGAAACAATCAGGAAAAGACTTGACTGTCTTGGAATTCTCTATTTATAAGGGGGGGATTTCGAAATTGTGAGGTTTTTAAATCTCAAATTACACCAAAAAGGCAAATAAATGAAAATAAAAATGAAAAGATGAAAAAGCATGTCCATTTTTTTTTCTTAAGAAATTAATACTTCTTCGTTCATTTTTATTTGTCACTGTTTGACTTGACACATTCGTTAAGAAAACAACTACTCACTATATAGGTATTTTACTACACTATCTTTGTAAATGATATTTAATATTAGGTCTTGCAAAATGATTTGGAAAATAAGTATTATTTTTTCTTAATATGTCAAAAGTGCTAAATAAAAATAAAAATTTATTTTAAAAATAAGTGATAAGTAAAAGTGAATGGGAAAGTAAAACCAATTTCCTCATTAATAAAATATGGAGAAAATAAGAGAGAGCCGTCAAGTTTATTTTTAAAAAGGAAGTACTTATTTATTTATTTTAAAAGTGAGATATTAGTCAAATTTTTAGGAGAAAATAGGTATTTATGGAGAATAGCAAAAGTTATTTTTGAGAAGCTAAAAAAGTAAGTATTTTTTTCCTAATAACAAAGTGTATTAAAAACTTATTGCTTAAACACATATTATTTACTTTTAAGAAATACTTTTTTAAAATAAGTTAATTTTAAAAACTTGACAATAGGCTATTAATTTTCTTATTATTATAACAAAAAAAGAATCAGCAAATAGGTTTATTGAGTTAAAGTATTTTTAAAATTTAAATTATATAATATAATTTAATTCGATACAAAAACTAAGTGAACAAGGGATATTTAAAATTTTACGGAGATGCAAATTATGAAAGTTAATGTACAATTTAATTACTAATGTAAACTGAGACGTACTTTATTCATTTTTTTGTAATTAATATGGATATTATAAGAATGTATTCATATTAATTATTATTTTTTGAGAGACGTGTATAATCCAAAATCAACTAGTAAAAAATAACTAATAACTAAAGGAGTACTAACATTTGCAATATGCTTGTCATTTGTAGTAAAGAAAAATATGTTAATAGTAATGAAATCATATGAAATGAGACCAAAAAAAGTTAGAGAAACTTTAACGTATAACAAATATAAAAATTATATTTGTATGTTATAACTATAGTTTACATAATTATGTTTCATAGCAAATTTTATGTTTGCTATGGAGCTTTTGATTTGTATTATTCGCTACAAACATCCAATTTTATACAAATTGTTCAATTTTGTATAAATTCATTTATACATTGTAATTTGTATAATAAGATCTGTATTTGTATAATTATAAGTGTATAAGACAAAAATATATGTATTTGTATATACATTTTTCTCTCATTTTATACAAACACAAACGCATTTTATATCGAAATGTATAAAATGACTAATTGTATATCGAAAATGACTAATTGTATACCAAATTAGATGGCAAAAAAAGGGAATATTTGTTGCGAATTACAATTAAAATAAACTATGGTTATAACATTTAATTTGAATTAATAATTTGTTATTTCTTACAATTTTCCCAAAAAAGTTTGACAAAAATAAAAAATTAGACAAATTTTAAATATATAGTATTTGTATGCCCCACGTAAAAGAATTCTAAAACTGGTTGTTTTTTTCTTTAATGACTTCACCTTCTATACGTTTTGATTAAATTCCCCAACAGTTTTGCAATAACTTTGACATATGTTTGTGTAGTTAGGTTCAAAACCTCACAATTAGGTGAAGTAGTTTTGAAAATTAAATTCGAGTTAAAATGTAATTTAACAAATGACATTAATGGATGATTAGTATTTCTTCATCGTTAATTAAAGATTTTATTTTTGAACGTGAATGAAACAACCTTTAGAAATAAGTATTTTACTTTCAAATAATTTTTTTCCGACATAAAAATAAATTAGTCAAGTCTCAAAATAAATACATAACATCAAAGTGAATTAGGAGAAGGGCTTTAAGAAAAACATGCATAAAACATGTAAAATTAATGTACTACTCCCTCTGTTCCTAATTACTTGTCCATATTTCTTTTTTAGTTGTCCCTAATTACTTATCCATTTTGACAAATCAAGAAAGGACAATTTTTTTTTACCTATTATACCATCAATTAATTATTTTGAAAAAGGTTGAACTTATTGAAAATCTTAAGTTTTTTAATTCTCCACTTTATAATTAATATGAGTAAAATGGTAAAGTCACTATGTCAATTGTTGTTTTCGTAATATATGTGTCAATTCAAAAGTAGACAAGTAACTAGGGACTGAGAGGGTAATAAATACACCAACCGCCAATAGTAACACAAATGTTAAGGAATGATGAGGTTTGGGTATTAGGAGAACAATTAATACTAAGAGAGAATTAGTTGCAATATTTAATGAATCAGATACAGCTAATTGAATGTTATCATATGTATTCCTTCCGTTCTTTTTTATATGTCATCTCTTTCTATAAATAGTTGATCTATAATATTTGTCATTTCATAAAATCAATGCATAAATTACCATAGTGTTCCCTTTTTACCCTTGTGAGTTATTAGCGAGCTATAGAAGTAGTGAGGACCCAAAAAAGAGTTGGAGAGAGATAGGAGGAGAGAGAGGAAAAAAAACATTTTTATTTATTTAATGAGTTTGATTTTAATATCCCTTTTTGTAAAAAAATAGATTATTTATAAATTAGTATAAATAAACATAGTAATTAATTAAACTATATTATTATAATTATATAGGAGAATGAACCATTTTCGATACAATACAACATAATTTAATAATTTTTTATTCAAATTCTGTATTTATTTTTAAAAATTCATTTAATATACATAAATTATAAATTTTAGACACCAAAAACTTCAAAAGAGTCTGAATTTATAAACTTCAAACTTTTGATCCGTCTACGTTAATTTATCAAGTAGTATATTTTACTTTTAGATGGTCACTATTAAGTCCTCCTTTTTTTTAAAAAAAAGAAGATATATAGGTAGATGAAAATATTCATGTTCATTGGTTAAATTAATTAATCAAAATAAATTAATTCATATTCATTGATTGAAAATTTGAATTCCAAGAAAATTAAATAAGGGTAGAAGGGTAAAGTTACATTATTTTATTATTAATGCAAGTGCAAAGTAAAAAGGTGACATATAAAAGGAACGGAGGGAGTAACTTTTAAATCTTTAAAATCTAAAATCAATGCCTTCCTAAATATAAGTAACTCAATATGATACTTGTTTTTTCAATTTAGATTTATTCTTTTAATCTCTATTAGACGCACGTAACATCGAGATAGGAAGGGTTTATACTAGTGAGAATTGAACTCAAATATATCGTACATGATATTTCTACTGATGAAGATTATAAGCATATACACAATATATGTTTGGATTTCTGAATGATTGTCACATATATCTACTTTTAGAATGTTTTGTTTTATAAACACTTATTATATTTTGAGTAATATATAATCCTAAATCCTAAACAACTTTTTGAATTGAAGTAAATAAATAAATAAATCTGATGACTGATCCACAAGCCAAGTCAAGAAAGGAAAAAATTTGGTCCAACAGGGATTACACACTATAGGAAGATATTCCCAAATAACCACTTTATGGCTACTACTTGAAAATAAGCCTTAATTACAAAACTAATCAAATATAGCCACTTCTTTATGGGGGAATAATAATTGGACCAGAAATGAGTGGTCTTAAATTTTTTATCTATGCTTACCAATTGACACATGGGAAAAATCTTTAAGGTCAAAAAAACAAAATGTATGGAGTGGACCATGAAAGATTTTCAGACAAACTGATTCAAAAGTTCAAGATTATTCGCCTACAAAATCGTTGGGATAAATCATCCCTTTATTTCTTCATTCCATAGTTATATTGGCCTGGGCTAGCCCATGATGCTAGTAAACATGGCCCAAATGTTATTAAAAACTATAAAATGAAGTTGAAAGGTGTGAAGTAGACCAAAAAGTCTGAAATTACTAGAAGGTCAACCAAAAGTTAAAGAGAATTATAATCCTTTGTTTGGAGACCAACAATGAAAGAAAGTGTAATAGAGAGGAAAAATGAACCCTTCGGGATAGCCCAGGGATTTGGCTTGAGACTTTTATATTGGAGGTCTAGAGTTTGAGATTCCTTGCCAACGAAAGCAAGAGGGTTGCCTTCTGAGTCGATCTCGTCGCAACAACACATAAATTAGACATAAAACGTCAATCTTGAACACCATTACATTACCGCTATGTATTTTTGCTTTCAATAAGGACCGTTCGAAATCACTATGGCTAGAATGTCTCCAGCTAGGACTAGTTCTTTACTTTCTAATTTCTTGTAAATAAATAAAACGTCGTCTTTAATTTCTTAGCTAAAAAATAAAAGTTATGTTAAAGTAGCTTAGTTTCTAAGTTATGTAGAATCGACAAACTCAGAATTTGAAGACTTCAGCTGAATTTTCAAGTTATGCACAAATCACAATATATACCAATGCAAATATGAACCAACTTTTTTTTTTGGGTACGTAGTGAATAGTGATGAAATCTAAAATGTGTTAATGGATCAGCTATGAGGGCATTCTAGTTCAAAATTGATACATATTGGCTATAAACGGCGCAGTAGTACCAGTGTAGCCACTTTTCAGCCATGCAATAAAAAAATACTATTATTATCAGGAAGTTTGAAATTTTATGATAATGTCATGGAATTTTACCTGTGGGATCTCAAATTCCATAATCGTAATTATATTACAATTCCATAAATTAAAAATAGTAATTACTTGTAAAATTTACAAAAAAATAACGACATCTTGATTTTCAATCACCAACATGATTTTATTGTCTTGTCACTGAAAATATTAATAGGAAAATAAATTTACAAGAACAATAATACTCCACATGTGGCCATCATGTTCATTACAATATTGGGTCTGCACCTAATCATAATATTTAAATTAAAGTTCGTGGCTTTATTTTCTTATCGTTGTGACCAGTGATAATAACTTGACGT